GTGGAAGAAGGTAATTATAAATACCAGCTACTACTATGTGACCAGTTACAGAAATGAAGACAGTAGTCACTATGAGTATTTCCATCTTATTTTGTTATATGTTTGTGTTTGCATGTGTATGTGTGTGTGTGTGTATGTAGCAAATATCTTTTTCTTCTCTAGCTTATCTCCTTTTCACGTAACACAAGATGTATGAACTTTTTATCGTAGTATTTAACTTATGAGATATCAAAGAGATTAAATGCAAAGACTTCACATCTTCTCCTGGGGAAAAGGTTATTCACTTTCCACTGCATGCAGAAGAGTTGTATCATGTTAAGTAGAAGTATGGCCTTGTTATTGTCTTTTTTGGGGGATAAAGTATGGTTTAAGATGTGTATGGGTGCCAATTTGACAAGCGTTGGACTTGTGATGGTTAATGTTATATGTCAACTTGGAGGGTGTTTTGGGATGAGATTAATGTTCAAATCAATGAACTTTGACTAAGCAGATGGCTCTCCACAATATGAGTAGGCCTCAGCCAATCAACTGAAGGCCTGAATAGAATAAAATGGCTGACCTCCCTGAGCAAGGGGGAATACTCTAACAGACTGCCTTTGGACTTCATCTGTACCATGAACTCTCCTGGGTCTCAAGGCTGCCAGTCCACATAGCAGATTTGGGACTCACCCCAGCCACCATAATTTCATGAACCAAGTCCTTATAATAGATGTGCTTCAATATATGTACACACATCCTCTTGGTTCTGTTTCCCTGGAGAACCCTAATACACAGGGTAACCCTATAATCTTAGGGTAGTTACTGAATATAAAATAGAGGACAAACATGTATGCCTCCATTTAACCTTCATAATTATTGTCTTGACTAAATTCCCCATGGTTATAGCATCCATGGCCCTAAAATATCCAGTAGTGGGCATGGACTCTCAGACTCATTAAATAATAAATCAAAATTAGATTGAGTCTTTGGCATTTACAAACTGACTTGAAGAAATGAGCCTCCATGAAAAACTCCCCAACAATATACAGAGCTAAGAGAGCCTAGTGTCAATTAGACATTGACAAGACAATGGCTCTTAGCTCAAGATAGAGCCTTCAAAGGATTGCAACCCATTTTACGAGGCCTATTTAGATAAGAGGGAGGGTGATTATATCCACTGCTTCTCCATTTAACAGCTTAATTTGGCCCGTTCCTAAACTTGGAAAGAATGAATGAGACTTCTTGATGAATTACCACAGCCTTTATGCTGTGGTCCCAGCAATTAGACCAACTAATTATTATTACAATGGAAATTATTGACTCCATCCAATCAGCAACTGATAAATGTTTTGCTATTGTATATTTGGCTAATACATTCTGTTTAGTGCATACTTCAGTAGCCTCTCTTCCTTCCCCTCCAAAGTGAAATGGTACACCTTTACCTGGCTACTTAGAGGGTACCTCAACAGCTCTGCTATCTCACACAGTCGTTGGAGGCAAGACCTTAACTGCATCTAACTTCCTCCAGGAGCACAGATATGACACCACATTGATGGCATTCTTTTCTAAGAGAATTCTTTAGAACACTCATTCAGGACATACAAATATTCTAAGAAGGAGCTCACAAAAAGGGGATGGACCACTGCCCCACACAGGGCACGAAGTCTTGCCACTTTGTTTAAATTCCTGAAAATTATTGGTAAACTCAGGGCTGTTCCATCTCTGTCAACATTAAAGCATGCCAAACATATTTAGGCCTTTGTGGATTCTGGAGGCAACATTTTCCTCACTTACAAATTTTACTTTGGCCCATTTATGCCATTACTTGCAAAATAGGCCCACCTTGAGTGGGACCCCCCTCCCAGCAAAACACTCTAGAATTTTTTCAACCATATTAGTGCCACTCCCACCCTGAGACTTCTTCACTGTAGAAGCTTTAGCATCCTCCTCTAATGCCTCTTGGAGTCTTTATACCATCCATGATGGCTATGAGTTGCCCATGACCTTCTGATGCAAGAAACTGCCTTCGTAGGTCTTATGCTGTATATTGTTAGAGTGGCAACTGCTGGATATATACTGGAGTCTCCTGGAAATAGAGGCTCTCATAGGCACTCAGCTCATTACCTTCCATTTCCAGCTGCGAGTAATAAACTTTTGAATACCCTGTTGATGTGTATTATTGCTCTCGATATCTAAACCAAATTTTGCATGGGGTCCATTCTGTGTCTTTAGAGTGGCCATAACAGGTGGCTTATGTTTGTAAAAAGAATCCTCAGGTGGATATATGAAAGGAGAGTGGAGTTGTAGGGGAATGGCTCCTCCATGATGACCTGGCACCCTTGCATGTATCCATATAGGCTTGAACTGCAGCTAATCTGAGTTTTGGTTAAATGCCTTATGATTCTCCCAGAACATGAGAAGATCAGAGGCTGTAAGGAGCTGCTATAAGGCCTTCTCTCAGTCACTTCCCTCTCTCTTCTGAGAGGCTGTCTTGAATGAATTTCTCATCACTTACCAGATTCTGATGAGGTACGGAACTTTCTGTCCTGTGCCCTTTGGAATAGAGCTGCAGAATATATAACCACTCAGCCGCAGTATAGATTTGGCTCCTCAGCCAGGGAGTATCCCTCAACTTGCGTTATAATCATCTAGCCCCTTTTGTTTCTTTGTTGTCTTTTAGGGTATATGAGACAAGGACCCAGGGAGTTGGCCTCTTTGGTTCATTCTTTGCACTGTTTATGTAAGTACTAAACTGTCTCAATCTAAAAGTGTTTCCTTGTATCTTTACCAGTCAAATCAGTCAGGCCTTGGCCTTGTCTATATTAGCTAGTTACCATATAATCCTAATTGCTGTCTTATGTCTTTTACCTGTAAACTAAAATAATTAGGATACTTGTGTTCATTCAAAAGTTCTTACATTAAATAAATACTGAAGGATTACCATGTTTTTAACTCATTTGTATTTGGGAAGCCTTAGCCTTCAGTGAACTATCAAATGCAGCTGTGGTGCCAATTTAGCACCTAAGGGTGCTAAAGCACACAGTACTTTACGAAGCTAAGAAGTCAGGAATATATTGGTACTGGAAAATCCTGAAAAATGCATGGTTTATAGATGAAATATTCTTCCCAATAAAGGGAAACTTAAAAAAAAAAAGAAACTTGATCAGAGATGACAGTCTTATGGTATCTCATTTTTCATATTTTCAGGTAAACAAATACCTGGCAAAATAACAGCTAATGTATCTTTCACAAGTAGAAGGTGTGACAACAATTTATATAATAAACATGTTAGGAACATCTGTGGGATGCCATATTCCAGGCTGTGTGCCTGACTCAGGACACAGAGACAACCCAGTCTGGGTCTCAGAGCCAGTGGACCTCAGAATTAAGAAGACAGAGATATTCAGGCTAATAAGTATAATTTTGATAAGAACTATGACAAAACAGGGCTGGGCATGGTAGCTCATACCTGTAATCCCAGCACTTTGGGAGGCCAAGCCAAGCAGATTGCTAGAGCCCCAGAGTTTGAGACCAGCCTGGGCAACATAGTGAGACTCCAGATTGCTAGAGCCCCAGAGTTTGAGACCAGCCTGGGCAACATAGTGAGACTCCATCTCTACAAACACTAAAAAAATAGCCAAGTGTGGTGGTATACACCTGTAGTCCCAGTTACTCGAGAGGCTAAGGCAGGAGGATTGCTTAAGCTGCAATGAGCTATGATCATGCCACTGCACTCCTGTCAGGGCAATACAGCAAGATCCCATCTCTATGAAAAAAGAACTTTTTCAAAAAATATCAAGAAGGGCTTCTCAGAAGCAGCGATTTACAAAAGTAGGGACTGTAATTACTGCAAATTTACAGATGAGAAAATTGAAAGTTAGAGAGGTAAACTAATCTGGCAGAGGCCATATAGCCTCTAGTCAAGACAGTTTTGAGCCATAGCTTGTTGGATTCCAAATCAATAAATTGTTTTAGTTTACACCCACCAAAGTACAGCTTCCCTGGCTCTGCTCGCCTCCAAACTTAAAAAAAAATCTGCTACAATCAGAGTAGACTCAAATTAGAAAACAGTTTCCAGGGAAAACTTGATGAAAGTTTTTCTGGTATATCATGGTGCCTTCTCACAGGGGAATCTTGGAACTGAAAGCTCTGTCCAGCTATGACTGGTAAAAGACTCTAAGGTAAACTTTTCACCTCCCCTTTTCCCAGTAACAGTTGGTTCTGGGGAGCTGCTTGCACTTGGGATTAGAACACATTTAAAGAACAGAAGTAGAAGGGGCAGCTTCCGCTTCAGTACTTCACACTTAGGAAGGAATTCATCTCCCCTAGGAGGGACCTCTTATACTCTTCTCACTTTCTGCCTGTTCCTTCTTGACTCACAGAAACATCAGGGGCAGACTCCACATTTGTTGATGTAAGCATGGCCTTTACAGAATTTTGGCCTTTACAGAATTTTAAGCAGTCCAGAACTGAAGGAGTATCTGCAATCTGTGAAATGCAAAATGGTTCACTGAAGTCAGGAATGTTAACTGCTTAATTTCGTGTTTTACGTACCTTCAAATACAACTTTAAACTTAATTATGTGCAACTAACAAGTCTACAGCTATTGTTTCCCTAAAAACCATTTAAAAAGTGGCTTATATAGGTTTTTATAAAATTCCATAAACTTTCCCCTTGGAGACTCCACCTCTTTGATTTTTCACATTTGTATGAACTGGTATGTAGGTGTTATCAAAACCCCTGCTCACCAGCATATAAGAATCCATTCTTACTTTCCAGTTTGAATAAATAAGAATTTAGCTTTCCCTATTTCAATGGGCCAAATTAAAGGAAAAAACTGCTAACATTGGTCTACAGCAAGGGAACTGCTAGCCACTCCAGGGTATTTCTCCCTTCTCTTTTTGGGCATTTGACCTCTTGGGCCAGAAGCAGTATGCCACAGCCAACCTTTTTTAAACAATCTAAATGTTTTCCTTTTTTTCTACCTTATATATTAGGCTTAATAAGAAGAACTCCAGTAATTACTTTTATAAACTTTATTACGGAAAATGCCAAACATACAAAAATAGAGATGAACATATATAATGAACCTCATTTTAGCCACCACCCAGCTTCAACAATTATCAAGGCCAATTTCGTTTCATCAATCTTTGCAATGCACTTAACATCCAGATTTACTATTTTGAAGCAAATTCCAAGAATCATATCATATCAGCCACAAATGTTTGAGAATGTAGATGAGGACCCTTCTTTCTAACATAATGATAAAACCATTATCCTAATACCAAATACCCCACCAATGTTCAAATTACCCCGATTGTCTCATAAATGTATTTGTTTTACAGTTCGGTCAAATCACAATTCAAATAAGATCCATACAATTGGTTAATATGTCTCTTAAGTCTCTTTAAATCTATAGGTTCATCCTCCATCTCTTTCATCCTTGCAAGTTATTTACAGAAGAAACTGAGTCATGTGTCCTGTAGTTTCTTATAGTCTGGATTCTGCTGATCTCATCTCCATGGTGTAAAATAATGTTTCTCTGCCCTATTTTCTAAAAATTAGGAATTATTTCTAGGGGCGTGGTCAAATTTAGGTTCAATGTTTGGGCAAATATTTTAAGAGACGGAGTCTCATTATATTGCTCAGGCTAGACTAAAGCTCCTGGGCTCAAGCTATTCTTCTGCCTCAGCCTCCTGAGGCAGATGCTTAACACTGTGCCTGGCTTTGCAAATATATTTTATAGATGGTGTAGAATACTGCCATCTGGAGGCACATGTCTGGGATGACACAGACATAGGAGTAAGAATTTTTGCTTTCTAGTATCTCACAGCTGCCTTGAAGCAGTTGTGTGACACTTGATAAACAAAAGTCACATATATGCTAGACAGATTAGAAAGGGATTGTTTAACCATTCAGTATCATTACAAAATATGAACTATTTAAACAAATCTTCAGTGATGTCTACCATATTCTAAGCAATATCTTATATGCTAGATATATAAAAAAGACTAAGGAAACAAGTTCCTTGGATTCAAGGGCATATAATCTGGTGGGAAATACAGACACATAATCATAAAAGCACAAAAAAGGCCACAGGTGCCAAGTTAAAATTCTGTACAGATACAGCGGTAGTGCAACAACCTGGAGAATAGTCATTGTAATAAACAGGGAAGAAGTGTCCAAAAGCATAGGATGAGCTGTGTCCTTGGAGTGCGAAAGAGCTCATCTGTGCTTCACAATTCCATTCATCCATTCACATACTTGATCCTTTCAAAGTAAATCTGAACAACATCTATGCCATTCACCTAAAAAAAAAATCTTATTAATAGGGTTTTATTGGTTCATCAATTCCTCTAATCAACAAATATTTATTGAGCTCCTACTATGGCTCATCAACCATTTTGAATTGGAAAAGCCTCCAGTGAATTATCCAATGCAGTTTCCCTGTGAGGCCAGATGAGAGCCTGAGGGAATAACAGATTGTCCCAGGTACATTATGAAGCTGAGAAATCGGGAATACACTTGTAGTAGACATTTCTAATCTGTGGATCAATGACAAATATCTCCAAATTCCAGGCACTGTTCTAGGCTCTGAGGATATGGGAGAGGATTCAGTCTGGGTCCTAGTCCTCAAAAAGTTCATATTCTAATAGGCCAACAGTCATTCAGAAAGATGATTGCAATGCGAGAATGGTGCTGAGAATATTTGTTTTGACTGGTGCTTCCACAAAAGGAACTCTGAAAAAGAAAACTCTGGCCAGCTGTTAGTACTGTAAGCTCTAACCTCCCTTTTCCCAGCCAACAACTATGGAGGGAAGAAATGCTTTTTCTTACAATTGAACTCCACTTAAAGGCAAGTGAGACAAGGAGCAGCTCCAGCATCAGAGCCCTTTAAAGCATCTATCCCACAAGGGCCCTCTAATGTTGCTGTTTCTTTACAAGCTCTTACATATACACACTTCAATTTTTATCGATTTTCTAAATACAAAAATGTTGAAATCTTTACAATGATTCTGTCAAATGAAACTATATACAGGACTTAAAAATATTTATAGCCACCTTTCACCCCTTTCAGGGTTACTTCTTTCAAAGGTGACCTGATCAACAGAACATAGGTTTCTTAGAAAATATGTTAACCATCCAGAGCAGCAAATTCTGTATCAAGCAACCAAACTTACCTTTACTCCAACATGTCATCTTCAAAATTTTTTTAGAATAAGAAAAAGTAGGTACTTGTCCAGTGGGGCACGAGGGGAAAGTCAGTCTTTTTTTTTTTTTTTTTTGAGACGAGCGCCCATACTGGAGTGCAGTGGGGCGATCTCGGCTTGCTGCAACCTCCACCTCCCGAGATCAAGCGATTATCCTACCTCAGCCTCCCGAGTACCTGGGATTACAGGTGCGCACCACCATGCCCAGCTAGTTTTTGTATTTTTAGTAGAGACGGGGTTTCACCATGCTGGCCAGGCTGGTCTCGATCTCCTGACTTGGTGATCTGCCCGCCTCGGCCTTCCAAAGTGCTGGGATTACAGGTGTGAGCCACCAAGCCCGGCCCCCCGCCCCCACCCATACTCTCTTCAAAAACTAGGCTTTTCCTCAACTGTCACGGGAGATGAGATCTAGAAGAGGAACCTTGAATTTACATAGCGAAACCCAAAATTTCTTAATAGAAAGTGCATAACAGTGACCCATAGAACAAGACTCCGTCTCAAAAAAAAAAAAAAAAAAAGGAACCCCAAATACCTGTCAATAATGTTTAAGAGATATGACGTAGTCTAGGTTGCTCTAGAAATTAGGAATGATCTTTTCATTTGAATACCCTTTTCACAAAGTAGGCTTTCCTTCTACCTAATTTCAGACATGGATGGGGGAACAGAGGAAGGTCCAGAAGAGAGATTTAGGTATTCTAGATGGGATTCCTGACTTTAAGCAAGTATTGAGGCAAACGTGAGAGCTTTTAATTTGGCACCCAGAAAAGGTTGTCCTGTGAGACAAAACAATTACTCTCTATCATTGAGAGGTTGTTCAGGTATCCTAATAGTTTGACAACTCTGTACCAGCTGAACATCACTAGAACTAACTCAGCTGGGATGTAATCGCCATAAAAGATTCCATTCCTGTGGTTACTGAGAGTCAGGGAGGCTTAAGCGGAATGTCACTACATTCAAATATGGGAGGGAGACCACTTTCTTTCAAAAACAAACTTAAATCCAGAGAACCATGGTTCTTCTACGGTATCCAGTAAGGGGCAATGGGAGTTGGAAGTTGAGCATGGGAAATCAAATTCTGTGAATACAGTTTTTCTGGTAAGATGTGCTTGGCTGGCAGATCCCCAGCAGCATCTATTCAATAAGGTTAATCTACATGGGAAATAGCCATTTGAAGCCAGCAGTGAAAAATTACTTGTGAAAATTTTTTGAAAACCAAATGATCCACATAGAAATAGAAAAAGAAATTTCTGAAAGGGGCAAATGAGATCCCATTTCTGAGGCTAAAGTGACTGTCGAGTGCAGAAAGAGCACAAGATGTAGAATTTCCTAATGTTTTTACAAATTCAAAACTGATTTTTTAAACCAACTCCCACCACAGAAAGGCTCCCTGACAAGGGCGAACGCTGTGAAGGAGAAAACACCTCAAGGGAAAAAAATACTAAAAGATGCCCACACAACCAAGCTGGTCAGACTTCAAAGGCCTCCACTACCAAACAAACCACAAGGCTGGTATCAAAAATGCGCACGCACGCTCACCCACGACTATGTGTGAAATGTAAAACCAAAAACATCACAGGGCGCACAGGTAGACACACACACACTCCCCACACGCTCCCCACCCACCCCTCGCCCCCCCCCAAACAGCCCCCAAAAGCAGGGTGAACAGTTAAGGCACCTAAAACCCCAAGCGGCATAGGCTTCCCAGAAATATTTTACAGTGTAACCAAGAAGCGATTTGGAAAGCATCTGAAAAACGTGCAAACTGAAAACAGGGCCTGGCAACAGTTTGCAAGCGTGATTCAGAGGGTCTGCCAAGGAAACAAAAGCCTCCCTCCTCCCCGTGAGACTGCACATGGCACGAGAGGTGCTCCAGGCGGGATGCATTTTAAGCGAGGCAGACAAACAGACGTCTGTGTGGGCGCGAGCAGTACATACTAGGGATCGCTATCTGGCGAGGATGGGGCCATGGAGTTTCCATTGGTTGGGGAACCGCCCAGCTTTAGTTTCTCCAGATATTCGGCATGCACGGGCTTGTGGCACTGGAGAACCTTGATGGCATCGTCGACTTTGAACCACTCTCGCTTCCTCCCAATGCTAACCGAATCTTCCCAATCCTCCAGCAGCTCCGTGACAGTCAGTACATACACGTACGTTCTGTGCTTGGGGTCCTGGTTCTGTTCGAAGACGCCCAGGAGCCGGCCTAACTTCCCCTTGACTCCCGCCTCTTCGTACACCTCTCGGACCGCCGCACCGCCCGGCTCCTCCTCGGGCTCCATGCCCCCGCCCGGCACGATCCAGCGGTCCGGGTACCGGCTGCTACTCACTAACAGGACCTCGTCCTCGCGCTCGCTCCGGAAGCACAGGCACGCCGCCCGCTTCTTGAACCCCTCGGGGTCGTAGGTCCGCGTCTGATTGGGTTTGCACTTCATCCTCGAGGCAGCCTCCTCTCGCTGCTCCCTGCTGTGTGGGCCGCTGACCCCGCTGCTGCTGCTGCTGCTGCTGCTGCTGCTGCTGCTGCAGGGGAGCAGCCCGAGGTGCTGGGAAGAGAAAGGGCCGAGGCGAGGGGCGGGGAGAGAGAGGAGCCTCTGTCTGCCTGTGAGCCCTGGGAGGGGAGAGATGAAGCTGGGCGGGGCGCGGGTGGAGGCGGGGGCAGCGAGGCGTGTCAGTCAGCCAGTCCGAGCCCGCGACTCTCCACAGAGCCCACCCGCTTCTGCGAGGTGAAGCGCATTCTCGGGCGAGTCCACGCTCCCGTTCATGTGCGTGTTCGCAGAGGAGGGCGATGGGCGATGGGCGAGGGGCAGGAGCGAGGGCGGGGGGCGAGGGGTGAGGGGCGGGAGCGGGGGTCTCCTGGCTCCCACAGGGCGCGAATCCTCGGGCCCACTGCGCAGGCGCTTCGCACTTCTGGGACCGGGAACCTCCTTGGCGCAAAGCGAAATACACCGCATTGTGACTTTGGCCAAGACTGCCTCCACGTGTGCCTTTGACCCAAAGGCACGGTGGCTCGGCAGGACGTTTCACCGCATTGTGACTTTGGCCAAGACTGTCTCCACGTGTGCCTTTGACCCAAAGGCACGGTGGCTCGGCAGGACGTTTCTCCTCTCCCTCCCCACTGCGCTGCAGGAAACCCACACGCAGTTGTTTTACACATGACAGGGGCAAAGGCAGCGTCGTCATCATCCTCCCCCACTATCAACCATTCTGGCTTACTCATGGGACCTGGGCCCTGGTGTTGTCAGAACAACACACGGGATTCTTGGCAGAGTAGCCGGGCATCTTTGCTGAGTCACATGATACAGTCTTATTTCAACAGGTTCCCACCTTGCAGAGCATCTTGGCGCAGCCAGTAATTTAATGCTTTTCTTAAACCCCTGTTCACAACCTGCCTGACCTCCCTGCGCCTCAGTTTCCTCATGGGTACACTCCTCGCCTCCTTGCTGCAGCCATTTGCACTTCGATGCACATACACCTTAAAGACCAGAGCACCACCCATCTAGTAGTCCTGCGTTAAAGCCCAAAGACATTCTCCTATTCTCCACACACTCCACCCTTCTCTTTCTCTTTGATAAGCATCACTTGGGGTTTGGGAAACCATGCATGTGGAGATACCGTCCTATGTCACGATTTTATTTTATTTTATTATTTTATTTTTTGAGACAGAGTCTCTCTCTGTCGCTCTGTCAGGTTGGACAGGTTGGAGTGCAGTGGCGCGATCTCGGCTCACTGCAACCTTAGTCTCCCGGGTTCAAGCGATTCTCCTGCCTCAGCCTCCTGAGTAGCTGGGATTACAGGTGCTCGCCACCACACCTGGCTAATTTTTGCATTTTTAGAAGAGATGGGTTTCACCATGTTGGTCAGGCTGCTCTTGAACTCCTAACTTCGCCATCCGCCTGCCTTGGCCTCCCAAAGTGTACTATCAACCACCACAAAACAAACAAAATGCCAAGGGGTCCTAAAAATATGGTTAGGACTTAGTAGTACAAAGTGGTTCAACTTCTACTCAGAGCTTTGAAACATGATTTGAATGAATCACAAGACACTCTAGCAAAACTAGCAGACTAGTGGGGTGTCTGGGGTGAGAGGGGCCAATCCAGGCTCTGGCCACAGGGCAGGGCTGCTTCACAATTGCCAGGTACTATCTCCTTTGTCTCACAAGAAAGAAGTGCCATTTTCTAGTCTATTAGCTCAGTTCTACATCACACTGTGCCTGTGCAGTAGTAGGTCTTTTCTGGGGAAATATTTGTGGCAGGGAAGAGGAATAGGATATTATAACATGGAAAGAGGCACAGACTGAAACCCTACTGGAAAAGTCTGGATATGGAGATCCACAACTTAAAACAGAGTTAATACAATACCAAGGGAATTTTTAAATTACCTTTTTCCCAAACTTTCATAGTTGATATAGTTTGGATATTTGTCCTCGCCCAAATCTCATGTTAAATTATAATCCCCAATGGTGGAAGTGGGGCCTGGTGGGAGATGTTTGGATCATGAGGATGGGTCCTTCATGGCTTGGTGCTGTCTGTGTGATAGTGAGTGCTCACAAGATCTGGTCACTTAAAAGTGTGTGGCACCTTCCCCTGTCTTGCTCATGCTTTTGGTATGTGATGCACCTGCTCCCTCTCTGCCTTCTGCCACCGTTGTAAGCTTCCTAAGGCCACCCCAGAAGCTGAGCAGCTGTTGGCACCATGATTCCTGTAAAACCTGCAGAACCATGAGCCAATTAAACCTCTTTTCTTTATAAATTACCCAGTCTCAGGTATTTCTTTATAGCAATGCAAGAATGGTCTAATAACTTTATTATTCATCTACAGTATAGTAATAGGGCAAGAAAAGCTAAGACTTTTGTAACAAGAGTAAAAATCGTTTTTAAGAGAATAGCATTCCACTGTCTGGTTTTACATATTTACGTATTTCTCCAGTGATGAACAGTGTAATTCAGAAATCACTGTAGTAGACTGTTACAGTGAAACTGCAGTTTGTTCATGGACGCCTGTATCTCCTTCCACACTGTCGTTGTCTCTGGTCTTGGCCATGTAATGTGTTGTGTCCAGTGGGACAGTGACAAATGTGAACAGAAGCCAGCAGAGAACTGAAAGGTGCTTGAACACTGAGGTGTCCCCTCTCTTTTTGCTCTTGAAGCATTGTGATAGCAATGTGAGGAAGGCTGGCCGGGCTACCTGGATGATGAGATAGCCGTGGCAGATTCTTCCCTTTCACCCCAGCTGACAGTGACACCATTGCCCAACATATGGGTGAGGCCATCCTAGATTATTCGCCCACAAGCAGAACTACTTAGGTTATAAGAGGGCACTACCTGAAGATGCATAACTAAGCCTAGCCATGAACAGCAAAAAGAAAAAAAAAAACAACACCCACTCAGATGAGACCAGGTGAAATTATTGACCTGCAGAATTGTGAATAAAATAGTTTACTGTTTAAAGCATAAAATTTGGGGGTGCTTTGTTATGCATTAAAAACTAGCTGCTCCAACCATTGACAGCATCCATAAAAATCAACCAAAAGCAATCAGAGAAAGACAACATTGTTCGCTGTAGAAATGTAACGTCTACTTAAAGATGCTGGCATTTCACTTTCCCTGGAGTCAGAAAGAAAGGGATGAAGTTAAGACATCTAACATGTGTTGAGTACAGTCCCTGTGAGAGGTCCTGTGTTATGCCTTGCATCCTGTTAACTGTTATCCCATTAACTCTTAGGGAGGGAGGCAGTTCATATGTCCGTTTTACAGAAGAGAAAATGAGAACTTAGAGTGGAGTTTGTATTCGAGTTTAAGGCTTCATGTCTCCATACCCTGCACACTCACAAAATCAACATGTCTTATAGAAGGATTCTTTTCCACAGCTATGGTTGTTGCGGCCTTTGTTGATGATATTCAGCATTGACCTCTTGGGTAAGGTATTCAGTAGTTAAGATTCACTGACTCCAGTGAAAGGTATCTTCCATCATTATGTTCTTCTTCTCAACAATATATGAAAAGAGCATGTGAGTACCTCTTTCACTCCCAGCAAATAATAGTTGTGTCACCTCCACATGTTACTTCACGGTTTGAGGCTTTGATTTCCCCTACAAGATAAAATGCAATGAAGTGATACAGAAAAGAAGACATTCTATGCTGTCATCACACTAGGCCATGATGTTGATTTATGGATGGTCTGATTTCTTATATGCACTTAAAATTTTGTGCAAACAAACCTGAAAAGTGTCAAAATCCCCTTGAATAGAGTAGCAGGCTGAGATGGGTTACAGTGAGCAAGCCTGGAAGTGGCGGAGCTGGGATCCACACCCTGGTCTGTCTGAGTCCAGGGGTAATCGTCTTGCATTCACTATGGCACGTTTCCCTTATGTTGAGAGGTGTTGACATAGACAGTGCATGTGATTCCTTTTGGTATGGCCTTCCTCCTTTCTAGCTTTTTTCTGCCTGGAAGATCCAGGCACCCAAGAGAATGGAGCTTCCATGTAAATTTCCAGAATCCCTAGGATGAAAGCGGAGAGGATCTACCCTGAAACCAACAAGTCTAAGATACACATTTCTACCTTTTTTTCAGAATTAGGAAGGGGCAGGCAGTTGGGCAATTGACAGGAATAGTAGAAGCATCCCCAGGGAAGTTGGCTGCTTTACTTAGTGAGAAAGCCATGGAAGGTGACATTTCTAACTGAGTTTTAAGTGGAGTACAGTCCTAAGAGAGGAGCTCTGTAGAAACAGCTGTTACCTGGGTTTGGGAATGTTAAAGACCTTCTCAGAGCCTGACTGTACTCACAGCTGGACCCAGCTATCAGGAGAGGGACTGCAGTATACCTGAGAAACTTTCAGAATACTTAACAGAAGCAGAGTCAGGGGAAGTGATTTTGATAGTAGTCCATGAGAAAAAAAAATGGTGTTTTAAAATGCAAATGAACTAAAATTTAAATCCTGCTCTCTCAGTAGCTATGCAGCCTTAGGTGAGTTAATATCTTTGACCTTAATATTTCTCAGGTGAAAAGGGGGATAATTACGTACTCAGAACTTCACCTCTCCCAAGAAAGCGTTCCTGACCATGTGCTGGCCCATCCTTTACACTGGGATTAAGGTACCCCCGTCTGTTTTTCCAGGCTTCCTTGACTTTAATTCTGTTGTAGCTCTAATTAAGGAACTCTGTAATGATCTGTCTGCAATCTTGTGAGAAATTTGAGGACTGGGAACCAACCTGAAACATGTCTGTTCCCTTCTGAGTCAACACAGTACCTGGGATCTGGTGTCCAGTAGGGATTTAAAACATATTGATTGAATGAGAAGTGATGACAGGATCTACATGGATCACAAAGGATAGTTGTTATTTTACCTGTTAACTATTTAATAGTGATATTAAATGAAATATGAATGAACCTAGGACCGGGGAAGGTGGGGTAAGTTGTGTCTTTCACATCAACCTTCATATGTTCCACAATTGTTTCTTCCTTCATGTGCCTAGGACACTCTTGTTCAAACACAAAGGTGGTTTCATTTTGGGTCTGTACTAGCTAGTTCCCTAGAAATATCTTAAATACAAAATGAATGGTATACAAAATAACCTCCCTCATTGTTTTGTTTCCTGGACAAATGACGGGATGCACACAGAACTGCTACTTTTGTGATTTTGT